TGTTTTGGTTCTATCTCTTTCACTCTACTCTAAACTGAAATGCATAAAAAAATGACAAAATGATACACTCTTTGCACACTGTCAAAGATCATATTGCACACAAAATCAACTATGTTCAAATCAAAACAAAAATACTAGCCTCAGCGTTGCCAGATATACCGATTTCTCGGTATTTATACCGATTTCTAAACTATATACCGATACACAGATAAGGTTCCTCAGAATACCGATTTTTAAAATTTTATACCGATTTATACCGTTTTTTTTAAATAATCCAAATTGCGCTCAAACTTCGGAGAAAATTTTTGTGAGAGACTTGTATCTTTTTGAATACCTCATATTTTTTGAGCCTTCAAAATTCTAAACAATCATCTCTTACGATGCCTTCCCAAGTAACATTGCAAGTTTTATCACGGTGTTAAAGCATCCTACAAGTCTAATTCATAGTCTACAGAACCCTCATAAAACTCTAATTGTTACTTGAGTTATGCTTGCATATGTTATGTTTGCATTTCCTCACTGTTTTTGGCTACCTATCAATCGAGAAACAGTCGATGGCTCTTTCCGGTAATTCCTAGGGAATCGAGAAAATTTCTTTAATTATAATTTAATATATTTTAAACATTATTTAACTTCCGGAAGTTTTTATTCATTTTTAAACTTTCTGAAGTTTCATCCAACTTTCCCTGGAATTTTCTTCGAAATGTAGTAGGCCACGCTTGAAAGCTGACGTGTTTTTCTTTTGCTGCGTATTTTTCGTCACCGCATTGAAAATTTTTTGCTTTAAATTTGTTAATTTGTGTTTTGAAATTAAGTTTCAAGTGTTCATAAAGTTATCATTTAGTGACATATCGTGTTTTGCCTGTGTTTGCCTTGAGTGACTCGGTTGACCTTAAATCTAACCTCCAAAATCTACGACGCAGCTTCAGTTTCATTGTTCGGTGCCGAAAATTGCCTGCTGGGAGCCCGGTTCTCCGAGTTCGGATGCCACATTTTCGACGTGTAGTTCTGTTCTATTGAGAGATTCGTCACCGTGGGCGATTTTGAACCCGGTCGGTTGATGAATTATTCCGGAAACGTGTTGATAAAGTGTCAGCGAGTTTTGGTGGTGATTCGGTGGCCGACGTTGCCGTGAATCAGCAAGTTTTCCGCTTGCAAAAGTGCTCGGCTACTGGTCTCTAGCCGGTGTCGGAGATTGCGAGTAATATGAAAGATGCCTCAGTGCATACGCCCAAGACTGAACGGGTGGTAGATGGCGGCCGCGAAAGGTTCCTGGGGAAAGCACCAGACGTGAACATCCTCCCAGATGACCAAGGCAATGCAAGACAATTTGTGTTCGTTGAAGTAACTATTACGACAAAGATGAATCACAAAATGAGATGCAAAACGTAGAGAAAACTACGGAACCCATGGATTGGAGGATCAAATTAACATGGTGAGACCAGTCCAAATACATTTCACAATTAAAAAAAAAACATAAACTAAATACGTGCCAGGATACTAATATCCAATTGATAGAGGTAATACATACATGCGGGGCTTATTGTAAGTGAAAGCAACCTCAGAATGGGCGTGACTCTCCAGACATTCTGAAATGGGTTGCTGTATCTACAATAGATCTATCACCGCCTAACTCCCGGACTAAAGCTGCCTACAATGACCATAAATGCAACATTGTAGAGAGAGTTCTTCCATAATAACACTGCCGGCCAGTGGGGGTTAGAGGGAATACACACACACACACACACACACACACACACACACACACACACACACACACACACACACACACACACACACACACACACACACACACACACACACACACACACACACACACACACACACACACACACACACACACACACACACACACACACACACACACACACACACACACACACACACACACACACACACACACACAATTTCCCTGGAATTTTCTTCCACCTTACCTTGGAAGCTTCTTCAGCCTTCGCTCGAATGATTCTTTCATCATCTTCTTCCGTTAGTTTTTTTTTTAACTTTCCTAGAGTTTCAGGGATGCTATCAGATTTTTATTGCGGATCCACACTAGCTGCAGGCATATTTAAGAAGTTCTGAAACTTCAGAAAAGTCCAGACTTTTGTGTAAGTTTCGATAAATTAAAGACAGTTTCATTAACATTAAATTTGAAAACCCAGAAATTTCAGAAAGGGCCAATGAATTCCAGTGAACTTTAGGAAACATCAAAAATATTTTGGAAATTTCACAAGACCAAAGAACTTCAGGGGGAATTTAATGGTTTTCAGGAACTTTAGTAAAGTTCAGAGAACATCAGGACAGATCAATTAATTTCAATGAAATTGCTGAAATTACAAAGGAGTTCCGAGAAACTCAGGCAATTTCCACTTCAGCAATCAACATGCAAATTTAGGAAACGTAAGGGAAGCTACATGCACATTAGATCATTGTGAGAACATTTTATGGGAAGTTCTATGCTTTTTAATGGCAGTGTCGATAACTTTTAAAAATTTAAAAAATCGGGAAGATCAGAGAACTCCAATGTTGATGTTACAATAAATTCAAAAAAATTGTAAGAGCAGTTAAGAGATTTAGTAATCTTCAGAAAAGTCCAGAGACCTTATCAGATGATTAAAGATATTCCGGTAGTCTTATTATAATCAGGAAAGTTTTGAGCGCTTCGAGGATGACCAGAGAACTCCAAATCAGCCCCTAATTTCAGGAAAATTAAAAGAATTTTTAAGGAATTTCGGGGAATTATGGAATATTCCTAAAATATTCCATTTCAGTAAGGTTCCGATAACTTCAGAAAAATTTCGGAGTCTTCAGGGATGTTTTTTGAATATCAGAAAAATTTCCTGGATCATTAGAACATCCTCCAGGAATCTCTTTCTTCCGGAATTATGTTCTTGTTTCTTTCGACTGTTCCATTAGCGCTCTGGCTTCCGACTTTCTTCAGATGTTTCTTTCAATCTACCTTAGGAAGTTTCTGCCAGCGTCTCCAGAAAGTTTATTTCGTTTTCTCAAGGAAGTTCAATTAATTCTCCCAGAAACTTCTTTCGTCTTCTTCTGGAAGTTTGACCATAAGCCAAAGGTTTTTTTGTTCAACTTCTATTGGAAGGTTTTTGCGAGCTTCTTCTGGCTTTCCCTGGAAATGGCTAATTCTGGACATTTGCTTCCGGTTTTCGAAACTTTTCTGGCTTTGTATGGATGTGACATCCGATTTTTTTTCGATAGTTTATTTAAATTTTCGCCACAAGTTTCTCAATTCGTGTCTCGGAAGTTTCCCGCAGGTTTTGCCAGCTTTTCTCTAACTTTATCCAGGAGAGCTTCTTTCGTCTTTCTCTGGATGTTTTTTTCCATTCAGAAGCTAATTCAAACATTCCCCGGAGTTTTATTCTGGGATTTTACGATCATAGTTCAAAAGCTTAAATTTTGCTATGATTAACGGCTTTCTCAGTCTTAAAACACTGCAATTACCGAGGCAATTACAACGATTTAATCTGCCCGACATTTCGGTCGTAGGTTGTGGCTTTTTTGTTTTATCGATGTTGTGGTTGATTTTCCGTATTTTGGTTTCATTTAATGATATTTAATTGAAAAAAAAACACTACTTGGTCACAATTTCGATCACCTTTTGAGGACACCAATAATTAAAAAAATTAAATTAAAAAAATAGAGATTTAAGGCTGAGAAAGCCGTCAAACAAAGCAATTCTCCCTAAATCCCAGTCGTCACCATCGTTAAAATTTTCGCTTTCAAAAACGGCAAAAATATAAAATTAAATAAATAATAAATACCGATAAATACCGATTTTGTAATACCTTTGATACCGATTAGCTTTAAAACCATCTGGCAACGCTGACTAGCCTATCTGGTGGCTGATGGCATAAGCTTATAAGAAAATTCTATTACAGCGAACCACAGTATTTTAATTGATTTCTTCGCTAGTGAGTCGTCTGTCACTTCGTTTGTGCTGATAGTGTAGTGAAAAGGGTGCCGTATCGTAATTGTGGGAAGCAGGAGCTATTCGCTTCAAAAAGGATCCGGTAAACACCCGCCGTCCTGACTGCGGTGGCTCAGCCAATAGTGCCAGTCTCGCCACCGCAGTTAGTCGTCAAGCAGAACGAAGCAGGCAGTTCCAGAGGTGAGGTCGCCTGGGCAGAAAACACTGTGGTGTCTGTCGGGGTTGCCTATGGTGAGTAGGCAATCCAGTGATTCGTCACCATCGTCGCCGGGGGCGTTCCGAAAAAGGAGCCTCGCTTATCCCCCCGCTAAACGCGAAGGACCGCTGCTAGGCAGCCAAAAGTGAGGCCTTAACTTACATGTCAATCTGAGGGGTGAACCATTTAAACTATGGCCAGCGCTAAAAGCTGGATTCAACAAAACTTCATTGAGTAGGCAGTTCCTCAAAATCCATTCTCCAGGACGATTTGGAGTTCTTTTGATTCCATGTAAATGCTGTTTTGAATTTCATATGATGTGTTTAAAGCTCTGCGAGCATTTTTGAATGCATCAAAGATCAAAATTTCTGACTAATTTGTACTAGAACATCCCAAAAAATGGAATTCCATTGTTTTTACATTTTTGTAGAAGTACGCCAAATTCGTCCAAAAAGTGTTAAAAGATCCTAAACGCATAACAAACCATTGGAACTGAAAGAGTTTAAAGGAAGACTGATGCATGCTTTCGGCACAAGAAAAACACATCGAAGACGGATATTTTTGTTTGTTTTCAAGACGAATTTGCGAGTTTTCTTTTTTATTTGTTGTATATTCTACTAGTTAAGTACAACATTATCATCATCATCATCATCATCTTCATCTTCATCGTAGTGTGGTTGTTTCGAATAGTTTAGCTTAAAATCGGGGAATTATTTACATGTACAATGTTGTTATATTTTCTCATCTCTTGTCCGTCGTCCGTCCTGTCCTGCCACTCGCTTACTTTTGGGGGCCTCAAAACTGGTTATTACCTCGCAATTTCATATATCATGTCTTATTTACTGTTTAAATCAATTCTACATTCCTTTCCGTTTCGGTTTTACTTGGGGTTTTCATTTCCATCAACATTCCAATATGTGTGTGTGTGTGTGTGTGAATGTAATTGTTTGTTTGAGTGAGTGTATAATCATATAATACTTCTTAATGCTCTTCAATAACTGGTTCAGAATTTGATTCTCTAGTTCATTACGCACACACTTTTGAAAGCATAAAGGTATTTCCTTTTTCCGGCTAATTTTCGCCACGTTTCGTGACTTCTTCCATCCATATTTATCGCATCTAAATATGTAGACTCTAACAATGACTTTTCTTAATTTTTATTTGTTTTTGAGAAATGGCACCGTTTACATGTGTGATTTTCTTTTCTTCTCCTCTCTATATTAAATACGCGCTTAGCGTTGTATTCAATAATGTTGTTAATTAGTGTATATAAATATAAGTATATGTAGAATGTAAAATTTTCGTCTCTCATCTGGTTGGTTTTCCAATTGTTTTCTTTTGTTTTAAACTCTAAATCGTATAGCTACAATACGAGGGGTAGAACACTGCTTTTTTGGGTTTCCCTTTCGATATCGGTACCGGTTCGATTCGAGCAGGAGAGAAAGCAGCTTTCTATATTTACAGCAACATCGATGAACTAGGTTTAATGGAATCTTACCTCTTAAACTATGCGGAGCGATCAACTCCAATAAATAATCTTGCTTTAACGTTTCTGTGTTTAACTGTCGTCGCCACTTTATCGGAAAGATGGCGACTAGTTTTGGGTCTTCATCTTCATTTTGTTAAGTCTTTTTCGAACAATTTTTTGGGGAAAAAGATTCGTACAATTCCGATTTATGTTGAAGGGCGTTTGTTTTTTTTTGTAAGTGGCAATCATTGGGGATTGAGGTTATGGACGATCGTCGCGCATAGCCTCAATTCTCACAGGGCCTCTTCTCACTTACATGAACCCTCAAACGTCCACGGGCGGCGGTTCATCGATCGCGTCGGCATCTCCTGCTCCGGTGGTTTCGATTCCTCTGGTTACGATCCCGATCCCACTGGAGATGCTACCGCTGCGACTGACGGAGCAACACGTGCTACTTCCTCCGCCACCGTTGGCGTAATATCATATGCTGCTGGACCGGCCGTTGGCTGTGCAGAAGCCGGAAGTGGTGGTCGTCGTCGTCAGGGTGATCTGCGTGGCCTGCAGGTGCTGTGGGGTCGTCGTTGCCGTCGTATTTGGTGTCGTGGCCGTTAGGAGGTGCTGCTGTTGCATCGTTGCACTCGGCGAGAGGCGCTGGCTTTGGATCGAGTTCGGATGGAGGAGCGATCCGTTGCCAGGGGAATTGCTGTTTGCTAGGCGGCGCTTGCCATTGGCATGGTGGTTGTGATGATGGTGATGGTGGTGATGGTGATGACCGTTGAGCATCGATCCGGGCGGAAGGTGTTTCATCGGGAACTGTGGAGGGATGGAAGGGGATTCTATGTTTAGCAACAGTACACACTGGTAGAAAAAGAATAAGGTGGAACGATAGACTAACACTAGTACCAACCGGTGGATACTAACGATTAAAAATTGGCTCTTTACTTGACTAGCCTATTGGTCCTAAGCAAATCGATTAACGTACCCCATTCTAGTCGGAATTCTAGTACTACACTATGTTTGTTTTGATTCGCTATGAAAGTTTGACAGATAAAACGAGGGGTTCATGGATTTTCTTATGTTTCGAGGGGTGCATCGATTAGCTTGGGACCAAAGATAGTACCAGTGCTGAGCCAAAAAGTTGAGCACGTATCTTCGGAACCTGCTGGTCTTAGAGTTACCTCTATGGTTCAACCAAATCCGTAGGGAACGTCCGGAATCACTTCGTGAACGTCTGGGTTAATCGGAATAATTTAAAGAACGCATGGAATCCGGAAACGTTTGGAATCTCCGTCGGGAACGTCTGGAATCCATGCCAAAACCATAGAGGTAACACTAAGACTAGAAGGTCCCGAAGAAACGTGCTCAACTTTTTGGCTCAGCTTAGGTACTCTCTTCGGTCCCAAGCTAATCGATGCACCCCTCGAAACATAGGAAAATCCGCCAACCCCTGATTTTATCTGTCAAACTTTCATAGCGAATCAAAACAATCATAGTTTAGTACTAGAATTTCGACTAGAATGGGATACGTTAATCGATTTGCTTGGGACCAATAGGCTAGTCAAGTAGTGAGCCAATTTAAAATCATTGATTTCCACCGGTTGCCAAAACCGGTTGCCAAGAGCTCGGCGGGAGAGTTTGGTATTTCAACAGTGAAGTTTGGAATCCTTGTTGTGAATGTCCGGAATGCCATAAATAACTAAAGGCCCAAACGCAATGTGGACGGAAGCGGAACGGAAACGGAAAGTTTGACAGTTGCCACAAATGACATCAAAATGCCTAACCGAAATCGATTTGATTCCAACAAGTTTTCAATCCGACAAGTTAGCTTACTCAGATCGGGCTTTTCCGCTGCCGTTGCCGTTCCGCTTCCGCTGTCATTGCGCTTGGGCCTTAAGGGAACGTGTAGAGTACCTGTCGAAAACGTCTGGAATCCATATTGGAAACGTCCAAAATATCTATGGAGCTACGCCGAAAACGTCAAGAATAACTTAAAGAACGTCTAGAATCCAAGTCGGGAATGATTGGAATACCCATCATTAACAGCTGGAATTCTAGTCGGGGTTGTCTGTCATATCTGTCTTAAAGAATGCATTGAATTCATGTAGGAAATGACTGTCATCCTCGTCAAGAACTTCTGGAATCCACACAGGAATCGTCCAAAACCTCTTCGGGAACGTTTAAAGTGCCCTACGGAAACGTCTGGAATTTCAACCGGGAACGACTGGAATCCAAGTTGGGAACGTATTTGTGGTGAACGTCTGGAACCCCCGCTGGATCTGTAACCCCCACCGGAAACGTCAAGAATTACTTAGGAAACGTCTGGAGTGCCCGTCAGAACTTTTGGAGAGTTGAAACGTCTGGAATTCTAGTCGGGGTTGTCTGCCAAATCCGTAAGGAGCGTCCGGGATCACTTCGGGAACGTCTTGATTAATCGGAATCATTTCAAGAACATATAGAATCCAATTCGGAAATGTTTTGAATCTCCGTCGGGAGCATTTGGAATCCTCGCCAAAAACGTCCAAAATCTCTTCGGGGTGCCTCGTCGGGAACGTCCGGAATCCCATAAATCACGTAGGAAACGTGCAGATTACCTGTTGAAAACGACTGGAATCCAAGTCGGGAACATCCAAATTATCCGTGATAAACGTCTGGAGCCCTTCCCGGAAACGAATAACTTAAGGAACATCTAGAATCAAAGTCGGAAATGATTGGAACACGCATCAGGTACGTCTGGAATTTTAACCGGGGTTGTCTGTCCGGAATCACTTCCTGAACGTCTGGATTAATCGAAGTCATCTACTTTCAAGTCGGAAATAACTGAAATCTCCGTCGGAAACATCAGGAATCCAGGCCGAAACGTCCAATATCTCTTCGAGAACGTATAAATTGCCCTTTGAAAACGTCTGAAATTTCAACCGGAAACGACTGGAAGCCCCGCCGCACAGGAGTGGAAATTCGGATCAGAAGGTGGCTCCACTTGTCATTTGCGAACACTAGCGCACCTATGTAGCGGTAGAAGGCATCTTCTGCCTGCAGTTAAGATAGGCAGCATCCTATGATAGTGTGAGGGCACATAGAAAGCCCGTGTGGAACGGTATCACAATACATCGCTCGTTGAGCAGAAAAACGAACCACCTTTTGATTCACCGATTTGTTTGCACTTCCCCTTCTGTTCTGTGCTCACCGGGAACATCTGAAAGCCTCATCGGAAACGACCTGAATCGCTTTGGGTACGTCTCGAAATCAAGTAGGGAACGTCTGGAATTTTCACTGCGAACGTCCGGAATGTTTGTAGGGAAATTGTGTAATCCTCGGCGAGAGAATCCGGAATGTCTGTCTGAAATCTCCATGGGGAATTGCTGGAAATAGCGCTGGAAATGTTCGAAATCACTTCGGAAACGCCTAGAGTACCTACGTTTGAAATTCAAGTCGGGAGCGGCCGGAGTGTCATGAATTATTTAGGGAATGACTGGAGTACTCGTTGGGAACGTCTCACTTCAGGATCCTCTGGAATCTAAGTCGAGAACGTCCGGAATATTCACCGGGAACCTATGGAATCTCCATCGGAAACGCCCTGAATCATTTCGGGAGCGTCTGAAAAACAAGTAGGGAACGTCTGGAATCTCCATCGGGAAATGCAGGAGTCTTTGTCGTGAAAGTCCGGAATCACTTGGAGAAGGTCTGGAATCTCAATTGCCCACGCAGCAGTGTTGATTAAAGGCATATTAAGCCCATTTAAGGCACTGGACTAATGGTTCTGATTACTTGGGTGCTTTGGAAGTTCTGTTCAACCGAGGGTGACGACTCTATCTACGATGCAGGGAATATTGTGTTTTGCTGTGGCTAGCTGCGCGTATGCTGAGTAGATAGAAAGAAGATTTATCACGATTTTGAAGATTTCCTGCAAAAAGATGATGTGCGATGCAAGTAGAAGCGAGAAAGGTAAGAAGAGTTTTTGAAGATTTATTCGCTAGTGTGAAATTTTTTGAGCATCTAGAATTGAGATTTAGATGTGTCGCCCCCCTCGTGTTCAACCCACACATAAACTTGTATCACATTTCTTTTGAGAATTCCTTTGCAAATTTTGTTAAAATTTGTTTCTCTCGTAAGTCGCCTCAGATATTTTGTTAAAAATTCTCCTCAAAAGTTCTTTGGAATCACCCTCCAAAATTCTCTTTGAATTCTATTCTAAATCCTCCCAAGATATTCTGACAAGAATTCACATCCGATTCTCCTCAAAATCCTCAAAAAACCTCTCCCTGAGGATCTTATGAGTCCATCTCAGATTTGTGCCAGATTTTCTAGAATTCCTTCGAATGTCTACGTTCCATACAAATTTGCATTTTTTATTTATTTGTATGCACTAGGCTGCGGGACGGAGTGTTCTAAAAGGAAGCTATGGAAATGTAGTATTAAAACGATAAAATGCTCCTTAAACTTTGGAACAATGCTCTTTTACTGCATAGCTACGAAGATTTACTGTCCTGTCCGTATTTTTTTGTCAGAGGAGCGGAGCGACGGACAAGCGTCTAGCTTCCAAAAGAAGCTATGTTAGAATTTTCTTAAGATGCTTCTTTAGAAGCCTCTTTTAGAATCTTCTTTAGAAGCTGATTTTAGGCGCTTTTTCTTTAGAATCTTCTTTGAGAAGCTAATTTTAAACGCTTGCCCGTCGCTCTGCTCCTCTGACTAAAAAAAAGCGCATTTTTCCAAGCTTTAAGGAGCATTTAATCTAAAGCGTCTAAAAAACAGCTTACGTAGTTTATGAACAGCCCCTATCAATCTTACTTTGGAAAAGCTCAAATCAATGGCAAAATTTGACAAACGAAAATTTTCAATATTCCAATAATTTATTTTGAGATTGAAAGAGAAAAAATGCAAACCCCCAAACTAACCTCGCTTCCTCGGTTGTAGAGTGGCTTCTCGAACCACGGCCACCGGATCGTCCGGAACAGGGTGTTCCGGAAGTCTTCACTGAACAGACAGTAGATGTAGAAGGTCAGCGAGTAGTTGATGAGCTCCATCAGATTGGCGAGGGCTCGGAAAAGCTAAAATGAGAAACGATTTATTCATTCAATCGGAAGTTCCAAACAGTTCACGCGGAAAATTCCGAACCAACCTGGAAGGAATAGCTGGACAGATGTTCCGGTGATAGCGTCACATGGAGGAGAGCCATCGGGGAAACACAGATCAGAAAGAGAAGCGATGTGCTACCTGTGGATTTACGGGGAAAAAATAGAATTAAGAATGAGGTTGGTGCTAACGGTCACAGAAAACCCTAACCTAACAACATCATGAGCCGCCGCTCCTCGGCAAACTTCCGCGGATCCTCGTCCTTGGTGTTGATCCGGGATAGCGTCATCCGGCGGCGCTTATCACAGGTACGACGATACACGATCATTATCCTTAGGTTAAAACCGGCTATTAGCACCGTCGGGGCCAGCTTGAAGACAATCTCCAATATCACCTTGTAAATCTGAAAAAAAAATGTGGTCATTCATCACTAACGCCGTCTTTCGAGGTTAGATGGTTGCATCACTCACCGAATAAAATAACGAATCTAAAAACTTCATATTATCGCGCTTATGATACATTATTGTTCCATCGGATTGTAAGACACATTTAACGACCTCGCCGCGCAGCACCGACGGCAGGTAGATCAGAAAGGTGAGCACCGGTATCAGCGCGACGGTGACTCGCGGCGGGCAGAACCGCCGGATGTGGCCCGGATGGCACACGGACACGTACCGCTCGATCGTCAGCACCAGCAGCATGATCACACCGACACCTGGCGGCGAGAAAAATCAATCACTGTCGTACGTCATTTCGAAATTTGATGCAAACTTACCCAAGCAACCATTGCCGAGGAACAGCTCCAGATGGGCGGAGTAGAAGGCTTGGCTAAAGTTGCGCCACCGACCCGAGTCCCGGTGGATCAGCATACGCATGCCGAACGGAATGGCGAAAATGATTGCCAGCAGAGCCGCGGCCGAGTATCCTGCGAAAAAAAAGCGAACGTGCACATTTTATTTTCCATTCCATCTGTTTTGAAAATTGTGGGAAAAAGTGGCATTTTTATCATTTCCTCGAGGGAGAGCGAACCGAGCAATCAGAGTCTGTCACTGTTTATTTTTTTGTTCTGTTTATTCATCCTGTGATGGTAGTCAAGAGATAACACCCCTGAAACCCAACGAAAACAAAAAAGCCTTTGCATCGCCCTACTCCCATGCATGAATGAATCAAAACCGAGTCTCGTGGCAGGCGTTGGGATCGGTCATATCGCGGAACATTTATCAAAATAAATACAAATAAATTACACACGGCTGTGTCGTTTTCATTTCTACCATTCATCCATTTTCCGCGAGCCTGACAATCAACCGACATAGCAGGCTGAGCGATGATGATGGTGTTGTCTCCGGACACTGAGACCGACAATAGGATATAAAAACAAACACAGTAGGCCATGCTTGTGCTTGGACACGTGATTTTGTCGGTTGGCTGGTTGCAAAGCAATTTGGACAATCTAAGTAGGTTCTCCCGGCTTTGGCAGAAGCAAAGGTTGACATAAGGACGAGGACCGGGAAAACGATGATGATGAGGATGCTCATTTCAGCGTGTTGACACTTGGATGAAGGTGCTACTGCTGGAAATAGCAGCGTGTCAATATTTACCCTCTGCGGCGACTATCGCCTCGTCCGTTTTGCGGAGTTGGGCGTCGAAGGAAAAAAAAAAACAGCGAGGGTTGACGATTCAAACCGATGATTGCCGTAGACATCCGCTGAGGCGTCTTTTTACTTACACCAACAGATTGAATTCCCTTGTTTCTAATTTTGAACAACGTTCCAAAAATAGCCACGATACATGGTCGTTGAATCTGACTCATATTCGAGGTTTCGTTCACTCAAATCGTAGATTGAGTAAAATTTCCGTCGATTTTCCTCGTATTCGAGCAGATTTTTGAGGAAAAGCGAGGAAAATTTTACTCAGTCTATGCTTGATCCACGTTGTTTGCTATTTTAAGTGAAAAGCCGCTCAATTTACAATCCCAAACCACCGCCTCCTCCCCCGAGCCGAGCACAAGCTTAACTTCGCAGTTACTTAATTCGAAAACTGATCCCAGTAGTCCACTTACCGCTCCTCGTCTATTAACTGAATAATAATAATCCGATGCCTGCTTCGCTTTTCCGATCAAGCTCGGCTTCTCCACCAACCCCGTAGAGTAGAGAGTGTGTAAATCTAATCAAGCTCCGCCTTCGCTCGTTCCTCTTTCACCGCTCCATTATTTGCGCTTGGAGGAAGAAAGTAGGCCCAAGTTACAAACCTACTCTGCTATTAAGGCGAGCGGCATGTCCGCGTCCAGTAGAAAGAGTCCCGAACCGGAAATAAGGGGGAGACGACAAGGCCATTATGATTTAGGACTACTACGGCTTGATTACATTTACCCCATGTTCTAGAAGAGTAGTTTCGTGTAGTGGGTTCTTCTCACACTCCTCGCTGGCGCCAGGCTCCAGGATTTTCTGGAATTCCTGTGCGGCGGATTTGTTTCTTCTTTTTTTTTCCTCTCGTGCATTTTTTTTTTCGCTCATCTAACCCGAGGGAAATAAATTAAACGCGTAATTGAATAAGTTAGTAATGGCCCTTTCTCCCGGTCCGGTCAAACTGAATGCGGGCGACGCAAGGCTGAGGGAGGTTGTGCCGGCAGGGACGGTTGATTTACACCTGATGGGAGGACCCCGGGAGGAAAAGTTTATTGCTTTTTCCCGTTCGAATTTCTTCCTGCTTCCTGGAGTAGGTACGAAAATTAGACACAAAAGTAGATGCGTAATAATGTCCAGCCCTGTGTAAGGTTCGATTACCGTAGTCATTTGTCTAATTTTACCTTTTGATTAATGTCCTTCCGAGAGATTGCAGGCGGGGGAAGCAGGCGAGAGAGCGGAAATGAGTTTCCCGTGACGTGCACGAAGAAGGGAAGAACAAGATCGATGCGATGCAATCGGAGTAGGCCGTCACCAATTTAAAGGGACTTGTTATTTAAAAGGGTGTTTTTTGCAAACCATGACATCAACCGGTTGCTTCTTTTAAGTTGTTATAATCACTTTATTTAACACAGATCAGGTCGTTCGCGATTTGAATTCCATCCCCATCGCTTGCTACTTGGCAATCAAAACTATCCCAATTATTTCTACGTATGGCTGAATATTAGTGCAAAGGGGAAATCTAGAAATTCGCTGCCAACATTTCAAAGGGGCGTAATTGCATTTGTAAACAATGACTTTAGCCATCGATTTCTCGCGAATAAAAACACACTCATGTGAAAATTAATGACACCAGCAGGTAAAGCCGTAAAGCTATGTTTCATTTACGAACTCGAATAGAGATTGCTGACGTTCACCGTACGCACACTACGTCACGTATACGTATACGCAAAAAAATTTCATCGGGAAAAAAAACTTCTTAGCGGAAAATTTTCCCGATGAAATCCTTGACACAATCACACTTTAGCAATCTCTATTGTTAATTTCGAGGAGTGAGCTTTAATTGGCGAGAAATCGACGGCTACAGCCATTGTTTACAAAAGCAATTATGCCCCTTTGAAATGTTGGCACTGAATTGGTCTTTTTGAAAATTTTCATACTACGATAGCGATTTTGTCAGAAGAGACGAATGACAGATGGAAAGTAATCGAACTTTTGGTTAAAATTTGACAGATGGAAAGTTATCGATTAACCCTGCTATCCGAGCGTGGTTACTTCTAACGGACAAGACGTTAAATTTTGACAACTGTGGCTGAGTTTTTCTCGAAAACCGGTCGATTGACAGCATAGGGATTTTCGAACATAGAAAATAACTTTAGAAATGTCACTTTTAACCATGAGTTAAATTTAACTCGACAAATGGTTCACAGCCTTAATGAATTGAATTTTATGAATTAGGTCAGAAAAAAAATAATATTTTTACTTAAGACCGACAATTGAAAAGGCCTGAACTCCTTTTTGTAAACAAACCTTGTAAGGCCATTTTGTCGCGAACCAAAGTCCACCAACGCAAACCAACTAAATGAACAGGTAGGGGAAATTCTTCTCTACTCGATTGTGTTTTAGGTAAGCCTGCTGAAGCTCCTCAAACTCACAGGAGGTTTTAAAACACTCTTGTCCTCCGAGTTTAGCCAGCCCTCACCGGCGGCAGGAATATGGAAGAAGTAAACAAAAACTCCTCGAGAGAGAGAGGGAGAGTGAACTTCAGCGAGAGGATGATTTGACGTGAGGTGCGCTTTTCGAGACTCCTGATGACTTTTTTGTACGACGCAAGAAGCTCAGAGTTCACCCAGAGTGAGAGTAAGAGCGTGTGATAGATAACATGATCATGAATGGCAGCAAACCTAACTCTCATTTTATCCACCTTCGCTCACAAGCTCTGAAGCTCAGTGGAATGATTTGGCAGTAGGCATTCTACTCCTCAGAAAAATGCTACGCTCGGCTCATTTCAAACTCGTAAGTGAGGTTCCATCAAGCCTGGTTTTAGGTTTGCGAATGTAGGTTTCGGCTCGCGAGAAAATAGACTTACAAGGTTTGTTTACAAAATTGAGTTAAGGCCTTTTCTATTGTTGGTCTTATATTAGATGTATGGCAACCCGGTGTTTTGACACCTTGAATATTTTGTTTTGCTTGCTGAAACTGCTGAAACCCGAGATGATAATACTAACAGTTAAGAGCTGGGTCTGGCGAAGTCGAATCGCAGCCAGCTTCAGACACTATCCAAGACGCATTGCAGCAAGCTTTACTCTGATCGAACGGTTGTCAAATTGATAAACAAAGCAAATGTGTGCAATATTGTGAGTGACTCTCTTGAAATATCGATTGGTAGTTGAAGTCTGTTGTAGTTCGTTGTTATGTAAGTAGCGGCTAGCTAGAACCGGGTACTCTTACCTCTATCTCAAGGCCGGCTTCCTGTTCGGTGGACTCACAACCCACTTAATAATCGAAGGGGACAACAACAACACAGTCGGTATACATGCAGGGACTTCCTATTGAGGGATAGTGGCACAAACACAACAAATTAACTCAATTACATTTTTTTTATTTCTTCAAAGTTACATTTTGTGAAAGGGGGTTCGTTGTGGCCATGGCATGCATGCTGAGAGAGAGAGAGAGTGTGTGTGGTTCGTGGTTACCTTAGATACTGTTGGGCTTCAGGACTTTGGGACGGGGAACTGGTTCGATGTTTCCACTGCTGTCGACGTTCCTCGTGCTCGCTGCCGGGGCGGTAGCTCATCGGATATTGGGCACTAGCAAGCGGGGGCGAACCCACCTGACCTCGCTAGACTCTCACCTCCAAGGCTTCGGCTACCACTCACCCGACGCGTGTGGTACGGCAATGGCACGACGCTCGTCCACCACCAGCACGGGACTCGCCGATTTCTCGTTCCTCCCTTGTTAGGGGCTGGTTCAACTCCACGTGGTTTCCGTACCTTCGGTCCGACGTCCCTAGTGCTCGCTAACGGGGCGGTAACGTATCGGATATTGAGTCCGACCAGCGGGGGCGAACCCACACGGACCTGGCCAAACTCTCACCTCGAGAACGTCTGTTACCACTCACCCGTAGCGTGTGGTGCGGCAATGGCACAACGCTCGTCAGCCACCAGCACTGGGCTCGCCGAACAACCGTCGACAATCACTACACCGAGGATCCACTCAACAGGTATGGTTCGATGATGTCCGTAACACACGTCTCGTATCACACGTCTCGAACTGAGAGACCCCGGGCTGACCAATCACTCGCGGGGGAACCACTTTTCGAAGAAACCGTACTTCCAGTCACTTATCTTCCTTCTGCTTCAGTCGTTTTTTTCTTAATCGTTTTCCTTGTGATCCGTCTTCTGTGGTGGTTGGAAACTGTCTCCTCGTTTTTTTAGCAACTAGCTCTCGTCTCCCTTTTTGTGTTTCACCCTCTCTCTCCCTCGATCTACTCTTCTTCCTTCTCTCTCTCTCTCTTGTCCGG